CGTGTATCTGAATATGCATTTCTTTATGCTAAATTACATAAACGAGAAAAAGTTACAGTTGTTCATAAAGCAAATATTATGTAAGAAGATGAAAAATATTCTTTTGATTTCATTTGTTTTTATCTTTGCAAAAAAAAATATATATATTTAGGCGTTTATCTGATGGTTTATTTTTAAAAAGTGCACGACAAGTAGCTGAAAAATATCCTGAAATAAAATTTGAAGAAATGTATCTTGATACAGTTTGTTTAAAAATGGTTCAAGATCCAACACAATTCGATTGTCTTGTTATGCCAAATTTATATGGTGATATATTAAGTGATCTATGTGCTGGTCTTATTGGTGGTTTAGGTTTAACACCAAGTGGTAATATTGGGGAAAATGGTGCAGCTATTTTTGAAGCTGTTCATGGTACAGCACCTGATATTGCTGGACAAGATAAAGCAAATCCAACAGCATTACTTTTAAGTTCTGTTATGATGTTACGACATTTACATATGTTTGATAAAGCAGACAGAATTGAAAAAGCTTGTTTTGATACAATAAAAGATGGAAAGGTTTGTAAAACTTTATTCCTAACCAAGATAGGATGGTTCACGATATATATAAACGTTTAATTTCTTTTATCATACTTGTCTTCCTCAAAAAAGTCACTTTTCGTCAGAATCATCGAAATTAAGATAAATACAGAGAAAGATAGCCTGTGATCTGATTTCTCATAAATGACAAAAACTTTTACTCGGTACTTCGGTTTTTTTTTCTAGAAATTTTGGAAGATTTCCATCATCCTCTATTCGAAAAATAAGATGTTTTTGAGCAGAAACAAAAATCTTTTTCGTTTTTTAGATTTTCGATCGTATCTTCAAGAATTCTCGAAGAAGCTTCATTGTAACCAATAACATTTTTTTCTCTGAAAGCTCGTGTTTAGGGTTAGTTCCTCTCATGGCCCTTTTTTTAAAATAATCTTTTTTATTATTATATAAGAAAATAGTGCCAAATAGTAAGAATTTTAAAAAAAAGGGCTAGCCCTAGACACAAGCTTCCAAACAAAAAAAAAATTTAAATGTATAAAATGAAGGCCTACAGAGAATTCTTGGAGATACGATCGAGCTATTTTTGACTCTTGCTTGGTGAATATCTCTGTAAAACGTCATGATATAGGGATGAAAATTTCATGTAATTTGGATATTCCTGGTTTGAGATTGATTTTTGAGGGAGAAGGCTTTAAGTTCGGTAATTTCTGCTTATGTGAATAAATATGATGTGGTAGAAATATGTTACTGATTGATTATTCTCAGGATTATTAAAATTAATTGTATTTTCATATTAAGTGAAGTAGAGTATATAATCAAAAAGAACCGAATTGAATATATTAAAGTTTAACATTCTTCGAAGAAAAAAAAATAAGTCTAACAGCGATAGAACGAAAAAATCAACTACGTTTTTTCAAATCATTTCGCAAACGAATGAATCATGCTGACTGAATAGAATCTATTAAAATGTAAAGATTCTATGTGCCTTTTTTTATTAATGTTAAGATACTTTGATATTTATCATGATTATGAAGAAATCTTTGCGTGTCTCTCTCTCTATCCATTAATTTTACTCAGGCTAGGTGAATTAAATGGGTTATGCACAATGTCAAAAACTGACAGTCATGCGATTACTAATTTTTCTTTTTTTTTTGCGATGAGTCATAAGACAGCTTTACAACATACTCAAGACAATAGTTCCTTATCGAAGAAGCAAATAAAAATAAAAATTTATGACGGAGATATTAAAATAAAGAAATATGTTTTTTGAGTTTTGTCCGATCTCGATTGACAATGTTCTTTAAGGTTTATCATTTTCAAAGGATATTTCAAAATATTATTGTGATAGTGACATTACGCGATAAAATCAGCTGCCTCTCGAAATTAAGTTTATTATTTCTTCATTGGTCAACTCCAGTCTCCGCAGTCGATTGAGACTCGAATTAGACCGTTAGACTTTATCCCGGTTGCGCGCGGCCTACTCAATACTCGATATAAACGATCTTTAGTATCATGCAATGCTGTGTTTATATGGAATGTTTCTTTTCCTTTTCTTTTAAATGACGTTATTCGTTTGCATGTACAATAAGAAAATATCAATAGAAAAACTTCCTCATTAATTTGTGGAGAAGACACTTTAGTCAAAAGCACAATTTTCATGAGAACCAAAAAAATTGCTCTATTTTCACTAATATTTAATCCGTTTTTGTCAAAATAATTAGATTTTCTGTCAAAACAAATGATGTATTTGAAGTCAGCATAAATACTGAGTCGATCTATACGTGTCATAAAACCCTTTGACAACTTTTATTTTCATTCCAAAAATTCAGCCCTCAGAGTTACGTTGAAATATAAAGCCAATCAAAAATGTTAGTTTGACTGTAGAAAAAAAAACATTTCTGAGTTTTTTGAAAAATTTAGGAAAATTCAAAGCGACAGATGAATAAGTAATAAAAACGATGTTTTGACTGATTTCATCGATGAAACCTTGAGAGCTGAATTTTTCGATGAAAATAAAAGTTATCGGAGGATTTTATAACACGTATAGATTGACTCAGTTTTTATGCTGATTTTGATTCGATAGGAAACCTGATTATTCTAACTAAATAGTTGATAAGGACAACTTTTGATCTTCATGAATATTTTGCGTTTGAATAAATTGCCTCGATCATAAATTAAGCTCCACATAATAGTGTTATTTTGTAGAACTTTGAAAAGTCTATCAAATGATATAATAATACAAAGTAGATCTGATTTTTAAATTGAATTTATCTCTATTTTTGTAAATATTCATTTATTTATTTGTATATTTAGGTACTTACTGGTGATTTAGGTGGTAAATCGAAATGTTCAGAATATACATCTGAAATTTGCAGACGTATTAAAGATTCATCTTGATTTCTCTTATAAATTATATAGTCAATCGTTAGATTTAGTTATCTACCGTTTGTATTTGTGTCTTCTTTTTTTTTTTACCAAATAAATAAATAAATATAAGGATTCTTTTTCTTTATTCTGATTCTTCATAACAAAATATTTTATTCAAGCTCTATTTCACACAATATCTATAATTATATGTATTCGTATTTTTTGTTTTCATCAATATGTTGACATGATATGATGTATCCTATACTTGTGAAATATTTGTATTTCGGATTCGTTTATTTTTTCTTTTTTTAGAATAGAAATGATAGTATATATTATCTATTTATCAATTCGCGATAAATTGGAGAAAAAAAAACTCAATAGATAATGCATGAAAACAAAATAAAATCAATTATCTTCGGTGAATTAGTTTTAACTTTCGAAATATATTTAAAATAGAAAAACAATCAACATTTCGTAAATATTTTATTTTTTTTTTTTTATTTTTTATTTTACTTCATTTATTTCTGATAATCTATCAGATCTTTTTTTAGAGTTTTTAGTATCAATAATTTAAAATTGAATTTGTATAATAATGTTAACGGACACTAAAGTAAACTGTATGAAGTTGATTCTAGGTAACGACTAGAGTCTCGTTCAAAGAATTTTCTATTGATCTGGTTCGAGTCTGAGACATGTGTAGGATGCATTAGTAAAGTAAACTATTAGACTTACAAGGAAACGCTTCCAGCTAAAAGTTATTAGATTCTGAATGTGGTCATAAGAAATATGCTTTATAATCTGAATAGATCAAAAACGATTTTTGACGAAATGTTTGTTAGTACGGAAAATCAATATATAAAGACTTGATCATATTCGAAATCAGTATGATTGATAACCTACAGGCCACTAGTTTTTGACGAGATAGCGATTGATTAGTTGAAAACATTCCTTCGATAGACTAAAAAATTTTGTTGGCATTAGAAGTACGAGTATGGGTTTAAAAGAATTTAATCAACCGATTCCGGATCAAGGAAAATATTAAATTCGGTGGACTCTAGTGACAGTAGTATATACACTTTCCTCATTTACAGGTTTTAAAAATAATGTTTTCTAAAGAATAGAAAAAAAATGTAATTGTGAAGGTAAAAGAAAACTCTTGGCTGAATAAGGAATTATCTTAAATATGAAAATAGAATTAAAACAAAAGATGCTTTTGTAAAAAAAAAAAAAAACTAACTATTTGATATATCATACCGATTTTCGCAGTTGATCGATTTGTAGAAATGATAACCGGCGAGAGTATATAATATTCTTATTTAAGACTTTCTATAATGCGTTCAGTATCGCGTTAGAATAAAATAGTCACTCGTTTATTTATTTATTTTTTCATCGATTCATATAAAAAAAAAGAAAAAGTTAAATAATAAAATACTCATCAGATAATCATAGAACAACTAAATAAGTCATTTCATCAAAAAACCTACTTTGACAAATGCGACTTTGTGACAAATTTTTCAAGTACTCAAATTAATTAACAACATTCAGAAATAAACATGCTCTAAAAAATACAACAGAATGCGATGATTTCTGGAGAAAATAAAAAACGGTCGTTTACTTGCTTCGTATATGGTCTCAGTTGGATTTCATATTGCATTATAAATAATCTTATTACTCCATATGGAATAACAGAAGTCTCTATATTCTTCTTTATGTACTTATGTCACACTCATCATACTATTTCCATGATATTGAATATAGTAGATAAAACTATGCACCAACTATTTTAAAATATTACCCAAAACAAAAACATCGTAAGAGGAAATCTCTTGGTGAGTCTCAAATCTCTGACATATATCAAAATTTTTAAATAATACTTTTTTGTTTTGTTTATTTTAATAGAAATAAATAGACGTATCTTTTCTACGAATATATATTATTAATGTATTTCGTTGTGTATTAGTCGAAATCTTTATCAGACATAACAATTGCATTCAAATTTATTTTCACCAAAAGCAAAAAACAAAAACCAATTACACATTTTTAATATAATAATACGTACCAATACAATTAAAATATTATTTCGATATTTTGTTACTAAAATTATTTCGTCATATTTAAAAGATATTGACGTATTTTTATTTGACATTCAAATATATATGGATATAATAGACAATGAAGTGTACGTATATGTGAACGATCTAAATGAGATTGATAAAAATTTGGAAGAAAATTTGGATAATTATAAGGATAAAAAAAGCCAAATGTTATTTGTTCAGTAAATATTTTGAAAAATTTTTGTTTATCTTTATAAAAATCTTTTTCTAAATGTGAATGAAAACGAATATTTTTTGTTAATGTTACATTAAGATAAGCAGATATAAGAAAACCTAAATATATATCATCATGATAATTTTCTTTTAAACAACCATTAATAAATTTTGAAATATTTCTAGTATAAGGTTCAAGTAAATGAACTAAATATTTTGATAAACATACACCAGCACCTAATGTAGCAAACCAAAATGGATATGGATATGGTTGTTTTAATCGATTAAGTGGTTTAGACCATGAATTACGTCCAATATAATATGGACGATTAAAATTTAATGTAGATAAATATTTTTCTAAATTATTAATATTAACATATTGATCATCATCAAAATGACAAAACCAATCATATTTAGTTAGATAACGATGAAAAAATATAAAATCATGTGCTGTTTTACAACATAATGTATTCATAGCATGTTTTTCATGACCACATATTTTTTCTGTTAGAATAAAATGATTATATGATATATTTGGTAGAATTTTATCTGTTATAAAATAAACATGTTCATTAACTAATAATATCCATGTTTGAAGAAGATATTTTAAACGAGTTGTATAAAATTTTGAACTTGTTCGAATTACATACATTATTCGATTAGAAGAAGAAGATGATGATGATGATGATGATTGAATATCAAATTGAGTTGTTTTTGAAGATGTTAATGAATGATAATAGATCATTATAGAAAATAAAATGAAATATATCATCAAATAAGTATTTAATGAATTTATTCGTCGACGAATATAACCATGACAAGTACAATAAGAACAAAATTGTCCTATAAGAAATATATTGTTCTTATTAAAATAAACAGTATGTCTTCTATTTTCGATTATGAAAGTTTCAGTCATATGTAGAGTAAAAATTATAAATATATTTTTTTGATGTATGTCTGTTAAGATCAATATTTATTGGTTTCCTTGTTAAGATTATTTTTTTTTCGTTCTTCGTTTTTATTAACATACAAAATTAAAGAATGATGAATTTTTTTTGGCGATTTTATTTGCATTGCTTCAAATATTTTTCTTATTTTCTTTCAAAAAATCCTTCATATTATATGTAAAAATACATTTTTATAGAACTAATTTATCTTGAATTGATGCTTTGATTAAACAACAAAACAAATAAAAAATTCAAGAAAAATTGTAATTTTCATTCAGCTAGAAGAAATAATTCTCTATCATAATTCTAGACAAAGAAATATATAATTTATTTTATTCTTTCATTTTTTTTATTTCCTTAAAGCTTTATTCTTGATATTAGTATTAGAAAAAAAATAAAAAATAAAAATGTTACTTGAAAGTTGCATTTCTGATGAATATGTAAATGGCATAAACATTAAAGTAAATGCTTCAATTCTTTTTTGTTAGTCTCCTTCTGTTCTTTCGATGTCATTTAATATAGTCAACCATTAAAATGAAAAGAACTGTAAAATCATGTATTTTAAATAGGATTGAAAAATAAAGTGAAAGAAGTTTCATATTACAAAACTATTCTTTTGAATGAAACACAATATTCGCATTAAGAAAAAAAAAATGGACACGTTTTTTTTAAGTGTTCTTATATTTCAAAGTGTTTAGAGTGGTATTTATTATTTTATGTATGATTACACAATTGTTATGAATTCCTTTATGTTAAATTAAAAAACAGTTTAAACACTTTAATTAAATTGAAGACGATAAATAAAAAAAGAAGAAAACTGTTAATTTTCAGTAGATAAAGTTAAAAATAGATGACTATGACTAGTAGGGTGTGGGGTTCAAATTTTTACTTTAGTGTGTTTCGCTTCATTACTCTTCTAGAAGAAAAAAAAACGACATTCGATGAGTCATCACCCATATACATTATATAAATAGACGAGTTTCATACTAATATTTTCTGTGTTTATAGATAAATCACAATGAAATCTATAATTTACACTTTTATTGTATTTATTGTTCTAATATTACAAATTAGTATCAAAGGTGAATCATTATCTTTATCATCTTTTAATCTTATACCAAAGATTATTTCTAATGGTCGATTTGTACAAGAAGGTATTCTTAATTCTGATATTGAATTAAATGAAACATTTCCATGGTTAAATCAAGATCTTACATTCGATGCTAATGCATCGAATTGTAGTCGAGATATTCGATTATTAAAGAGAGATTTATATGCTAGACAAATATGGGCATTGAAAAGTAAATCTTATCTTTTGAATTATAAAAAAACAATTTTTGTTTTTGTTTTTCTTTTTATTTCAGCATTGGATGCTTGGGGTAAATTTCCTAGTGGAATAATGCAAGGAAATATCTATTGGATTGGTTCAGTATCTGAATGTGAACATCATTTACGTGGTTTAAATAATAGTGTTGTTGAACAACCATTTCGAACACGAACATGTATTATTAATAATGATTATACAATTACTTTTCGACCTGTTTATGGTATTTGTGTACCTCAAAGTTGTGATGCAAATGATATTGTTCATATGATTAATCGACGTATGTGAACATATTATTAAAAAATGCTTTTGTTTTTTTGATTTTCTATTTTAAAATTTTCAGGTATTATTCGAATTCCATTTATTAAAAGATTCCTTCCTTTAACAAATGATAGTATTCACTGTATTGATCAACGTTCATATGATGCAAAAGCAATTTTAACTATGTAAAATTTGCTCTCATGTTATGTTCGTTTTTATTTTTTATTTTTTATTATTTCAGTGTACTTTTAACTTTAATTGTTTTTCTTATTCTTGTTGCTACTGGATTGCATATTGCATATGGACATAAACATGATTTAACAATGGATGATACACCTACAGCAACTTATGAACCAATATTAAGTCGAACAACAACAACAGAAACAGCACCATTAATAACAACAGATACTACAACAGCAGCAACAATTAATACATCTCAAATAGAAAGTTCAGTTGATGAAGAAACACCATTGGTTTCTCGACCTCGATCAGCTGTTGATTCAGGTAAGTAAAATCATATTCTTTTGAAATATATATATATGTATTTTTTTTTTTTGTTAATTTCGATTATTAATAGTGGCACAAAATTTTATTAATTGTTGTTCATTAATTAGTAATTATTATATATTAAAACGTGAACATCAACCAAGAAATCTTGCTTGTTTAAATGGTATTCGTGTTCTTTCACTTTGGTGGGTAATTCTTGGTCATACATTGTTATTTGCTGCTTTTTATTCGGGTAAGTTTTCATAGATTTTTATCAGTAAAAAACAAAAAAAGTTCCAAATCTGTATTCTTAGAAAATAATTTATTTTTGTAAGTAAAAGTAGAGTTCATTTTGATTAAGCTCACGCTCATAGAAGTTTCATATTTTATTCTTCACGATATATATATAAAATAATTCTTATTTAGATAATGTAATGACTATTTTCAATTGGTCACGTCAATTATGGTTTCAAATAATTATACAAGCAATATTTAGTATTGATTCATTTTTTGTCTTAAGGTAATTTTGAATTCTTACCAAAAAAAATTTTATCAATTGATTACATTTGATTTTTAGTGGCTTACTTACTGCATTTATATTTCTTATATGGAAAAGTGAAAATGAAACAGTTTCAATTGTAAAATTTCTTCTTAATCATTATGTTTATCGTTATCTAAGGTATTAATATTAATTTAAAATTTTTAATATATAAATTATTTTTATATAGATATACAATATTTTATGCTATAATTCTACTTATCTATATTACTCTTTCACCATATCTTGGTCAAAATGGTCCTGTTTATCCAATTAATGGTAGTGAACCATCAACTTGTGGACGAACTTGGTGGCGTAATTTACTTTATATAAACAATTTTTTTGATATACGTGATGGTTGTATGGCGGTAAAAGATAAAAAATTAATTTTTCATATTATAATAAACAAATAAATTGTATTTAGGTAACATGGTTTTTAGCAGTAAATATGCAATTTCATTGGATTTCACCATTATTTTTATTGACTGTTACATGGTAAGATGTTCAAATATTAACTATCGTTTTTCAATTTGATATATATTAGTTTTTGAAGTTAGAATAAAATCTTTTTTGGTATCAGATTGGTCTTCTATTCAGAGATACAGCTAGTATTAGTTATAGGAAAGATACCGAGCTATTAAATCTGCCACTAGACAGCAGTCTTCTTTCAATATTAGATTTAATTTTTATTGTTTATTTTTATTTAGGAATTGGATTGTTGGAATGATCGTAGCCAGTGCTTTTATTCTAGTTGATATTATAACAACAGCAGTAATTGTATCAAAAAATAATTATGATCATGGACTTTTAAGCGATTTATATTCAAATGGATCGCATTGGTCAAATACAACTCATAATTATATGAATGATGTTTATGTTAAACCATGGTGTCGTATTGCTCCATATGCTATTGGTTTAATACTTGGTTATGTTGTTTATGAAGTTTATACAAATTCAAATACAGTATCATGGGAATCGATTTTACCACAACGACGATCAGCTCGAGCAAATCGAATAAAACAAATTCTAGCTGGGATATTTGCTTTGATTATTTTAGGATTAATTATTTTTGGTACATATGGAGATTATAATGGACATTCATTAAATCGATCAGAACGTATTGCATTTCTTACTTTATCAAGACTTGGATGGGCTATTGGATTAGGTATAATTATCATTACTTGTTTTATTGGACAAGGAGGTTTGTTCATTTTTCTATTTATATATTTACAAAATTATATTTAATAGGAATAATCAATAAATTACTTAGTCATCGATTCTTTGAACGATTGGCAAAATTAACTTATGGTGCTTTTCTTTGGCATGCATTAGTTATTTTTGTTCATTATATTAGTCGTGATCAACCTACACATTATACAATAACTAATATTGTATGTATTGTAAAAATTAAATTACAAAAAATATTTTATTTTATTTTATTTTAGTTATATGGTTCAATTATTAATATTATTATTTCTTATATTTTGTCATGCTTTACTTTTCTTCTTATTGAATTACCAACAATACAATTATTAAAAAATGCTTTTCAACGTCCAAAAATTTCATCATAATTAACAAAAACATTTTAAATATTTTTTTTCTTATATAAAATCGCTATTATGACTTATATATTTTATTTAGCTTTTCTTTTTTTTTGTTGTTCTGCATGCCTATTTAATTAAGAATAAAATTCTTTTCTTCGACGATCATTTGATTTTGTTTTTCTCGTTCGTATTTAAATCCCTCGATTTTTTTTTTGTTTTGTCTAACGGTTAACAATATACACGTCTGTTCAAACGGACGAATATATCATAGCCTATAAAAACTTTTCCATTTCTTATTTTAATTCATATCCATCTATACATACAAGTTCAAGTAAGTACATAATTTCAAACGTTACTATATGATTTAATCGTTTTATTTTGTTAGTAATAAAAAAAAAAATTTAAATAATCTTATAATAAATGGCTCGTCGTTCAAGTCAAAAACGTCGTCGTGATCCAAATGCACCAAAAAGAGGTAAAACAGCTTGGCAAATGTTTTTCTCAGATAATCGTGAAGAAGTTAAGGTAATTAGCAGAAAAAGAACTTTTTTATTTTTTTTTAATAAGTCTTTTGTTTTTTTTCTTCTAATTCTAAAGAAACAAAATCCTAATTTAAGTGGTCAAGAAATTTTGAAAAAATTAGGTGAAATGTGGCGTCAATCTGATGATGCAGTAAGTTTTTTTTAAATATATAATTTCATTGAATAAATGTTTTCTTGTATTATTTTAGACAAAACGTCGATATCAAAACCAATATCAAACAAGTCAAAATGAATATAATGAAAAATTGGCTGCATATAAAGAAGAAAAAAATAGAAAAAGTCAATCATCAAATTCAAAAAAAAATAGTGGACAATCGAATAAAGAAAATATTAACTATCAAATAAATGAAGATGATAATTAAATATAAATTTTTTCTTTCTTATCGAATTAAAAAATCTTAATGAAATATGTGTTGTTTTATTTATATTGTATACTTTATTTTTGTATTTATTGACTAGATTTTATAGATTTGTTTTCTCTTTTTTTCGCTTGTACTGATGTTGTTCATTATATGAATAAACAAGAAATGTTTATATAATAAATGAAAACAGGAAAAACAAAAAATTTCTTTATTGTATATACTTTGATAGAAATCTATTTCTCGATTCTATTCATCCCTATATGGATACAACTTTTGGCAATTAACTTGAATCCGAACTAATCAGTACAATAAATTGTACAAATTTTCACTCCTATACTTTTATGTTTGAAAAAGTAAAAATATTATCAAATGTCAAGATGTCATTCGGGTGCCTGAACTAACCCATAGTTATCTTAGCTTTAATTATAAAAGATAACATCTTTTTTTTTTGTACAGCTTTGGTAATATCCGTTTACAAATACTTTTCGATTTCCGTGACTTGGATACATTTGTTTTTTGTACAAATCGTTCGAAGGCCTACAATTTATATGCATGCATACAATACAGACAAAAATGATAATAAAAAAAATGCGTAAAAGGCACACAACAGTGAAGAGTAAAAATGCGAAAGGTATTTCAACGAACTTTGTTTGTCTTGACGAGATTCTATTGTATATGTTTAACAGTGACTCATTGCGGCAGATGTGTAGATTGTTTGTACTACTACTCTTTCCAACCTATTGATCTATTTTGAGGATATGGGTGTGCATCTTTGCTTCACTAACTTACGCCCACTAATGAAATGTTAAGTTATGATATATGTCTCTTGCAATAGCAGAATCTTGTTGAGATCTTCTTCTTTTCTTTCTTTAATGATTGTATATAATTAATGTAAACATACTCTCAATGTACCGATGTGTTATCCTGTTCTTGTGAATCCTGAGTACAATATCCATTTATCTTTATTGACTTTCGATGGACCGATGTGATATCTATTATTAAACATATGTATACTTCTTGTTTTCAATGGTATTTGATTCAGCTATGACTTTTTCTGATTGTCTGCTATTATTGTTCTGTAAATATTCCAAATCATTCTCGCGTAAATAACCTTAAGAACAACAATCCAAATAAAAAATTTCAAGACTCAGATCTATGAAATTCCCGTGGAAACAGGCCAGAAATCTCAGAAAATTAGTAGGCACTTGGAATCTGGGTCCGATGATTGAGTCTAGTAACTAGATTCTTCTAGTTTCATCGGCTCTTTTTTTTCTCGAGCTAAAAAGAACAAATGTATTCACTAGAATTTTCCAATAGGACTGAGTTGAGTTACTCAACTCTGATAGATACATTCTAATCTCATTCAAATATTTAATTAACTACTATATTACGCATAAAATGTTCGAGGGTACGATCGAATTATTTTGTTTTTCAAAAATCAACTCATTCAATAAGAAAATTAGATGATATACAAAAAAAAACCGAGACATTTTCGTAGATTTGAAAAACAAAGTTCTATTAAATGTCAATTCTATTATTAATAATTACAAAAAAATCTTCGTTTATTAAAACATTCATCTATTAAAATCACAAATATAATATAAATACAAGATTAACGAAATGGGTTGGAAAGATTTTATAAAACAAACAAAAAAAGCAGAACGTCAATACTAAAAATCTTTTTTTATTTTTAAAACAAAACAAATTTTATATTTGTTTTCTACATACTCTTATACATGTATAACATACAATACAAAGGACAGAATACTAAAAATCACAAAAATATTCAACATTGGATCGATCTATGTTGAAAATATAAATAAATGTACACATCTATTTTGAAACAACATATAACTTAAGAATGACCAAACATTGTTGTAGAATATTTTCGATTGCATTGAAGACAAAGAACATGATCATCTATTGGATAGCAACCTTCTTCTGTTGTAAATTGTATATTACAATTCTTCAAAAAAAAAACAATATATATATATATATATATTCAATTTAATTAAAATAAACTTACTTCACATCGATAACAATCAATATGATAACTTCGATCAAATGCAATTATACGAATTGTTTCTTCTTGACCAGGTTGAGGTAATATTGGTCGATGACATACATAACAACGTGGTGCAAATTTTTCATGAAAACAATCAATACAATGTATTTGCATAGTTGCATCAACAGTAAATGGTATACCATCAAGACTTTTTTGACAAGTCATACAAGAAAAACATTGAGCATGATATGGTTTACCCGTTGCACGAAGAATCTTTAAAAAAATATAAATATGAATTAAATATTCAAATTCAATATACAACAAACAAAGAAATAAATTTTATTCATTAGAGATCAAACTTATAAATAAGGCGTGAATGTAACTGTAGATCTTCTATTCACATGCATCTGACCTTCTTCGCAGTAATACGCTAATGGCATGAAATCTTTTCAAGGTATTCATAGTTCATTTGAGTTTACATACTGCATCTAGTCTCAATTCAAAAGCAATGCATCAATTGGAGAACTTATCTCATTAGTCCTCAAGCTATTGCAATTTACATATTTTGTTTTTTTTTCTTCAAAATAATTAAATAACATACTCGATCAGTAATCGGTAGAGCACAAGCTACGCATTTTTCTAATGAATTCTAAACAAACAAAAAAAATTAAATTAAATTAATTTATATAACGATCAACTTACAACATAACATGATTCACAATAAGGTTTATTTTCCATTGAATAAAAGTGCATACCACGTAGACGACATCCACACATAGTACATGTAAAACATGGTACATGATACATTCGATCCATAGCTATCAATCCATTTTCTTCTCCAACAATTTCATCATTACATCGAGCACACATTCCTTTCAAATAAAAAAGATATTTTCTTAGAAATAAAGGTTCTTTTTTTTGGTAAATGATCTTTTAACTAACCAAAAAAATTTGGTTGATTTGACGAATTCATACTTTTCATTAATAAACTAGTTAAATGATCAACTTCAGATTGTTCTTTTTTTATTAAATGTTCATGATGTATTGGTAAAGAAATTGGTGGTAAATTTGCACTTATAGTTGAAGGTCGATCAAATGTATTATTATTCGGACTTGTATAAGCTATTGATGATTTAAAACGATTAGCAACAATATTTGATTTATATGGATTATCACCAGAATCACGACGTGTTTCAATCTGATGAAATGACTTGAGAAAAGAAAAAAAGAGAAATAAATAATTAAAATTTTATTATTTCAATTCTTCTAACATACAGGTGATGTTTGTCTTTGCCTATCATGTTGAATTGTATTTGTTGGTGGTTCAACTGAGATATGAAAAGCACCACCACCACCACCACTTCCATTAGTAATCATTCCATCGTTTGAATTATTAGTAAATGTTATTGGTTGATTTGTTCCCGTACGATTAATTGATATAGATGGTGAATCTGGTCGAGAAATACGAATTTCACGTAATGTTGATTTATTTGTTGTTGGTGATGATGATACACGAATTTCAGATCGACTTGGTAAACCACCTGAAGCTATTGTAATTAATGGTGATTTTGTTGAACTAACACTGATTAAAGCTACAAAATAGATGTTTGTTGTCAATATAAAGTTTTCTCAGATATATATTCGATTAATGAATATGACTGTAATTTTTGATAGTTGTATCATTAATCATTTGACTCACCGCGATTATTATTCGGTATTGATCGATATTGTTTATAAGAATTTGGATGCATTGAAATCGTTGGTGAAGATCGTTCTTGTTCAGATAAATATGAATTTGAAAGTGAAGAATCTAAATAAATGTCAAGGAATATTTATCTTTTTTCTTTTTTTTTTGAAAAGAAAACTATTTTAATTTTTTTTTCTTCCTTTCTCTCTCTTCTTTATTTAACCAAAGTTATACAAACAAAATAACACTTCATTGCCTATTTAAGCAAGAAGAATAACAACCTTGACTGCTTCGTCGAGGTATATCTTCATACGTAATATACAATATTGTACTATTCTCTTCTGATGATTGGTTATGTTGACACGAAATGAGAATATCGTTCTTTTGGTTGTCAACAGACGATGTGTAATCATTTAGAGAATAGCTTAACATTCCTATAACCTTCAATTTATCATCAAATCATCAAACAAAAAAAAAAAAGAAATTCTTAGATGAGAAATAAGTATGATAGTTAGTTTCTATATCGAAAATTTTTAATCAAGAAAAACCGTATCAAAATAAAAAGCACATGGATATACAAATATTACAAATACTAACATGCATCATATATCCTTACGAGATTATGAATGATCATTATATTTAATGAATATTTTATCCTAATCGAATTGACAAATTAAAAGGATTTTTTTTAATTATTATTATTACTTTATCGATGAGGTTGAAAAAAACAATTGGTGGGTAGTGTAAGTTTAAGTGGAAATGATTCATCTGCTGATGATATTAGTGCGTTATCATCATTATTAAATTACTAAAATAGGAAAGCAAACATCCACACATTTCTTGCATCATGCTCATGCATTAACAAGCAGGAAAAAAATTGTTATTTTTTTTTTAAATCACCATTTATTTGATTTGTTGAAAATCGACGTTGAAGTCGATTTTGAAGATATTGTTGATGATCTGATAATTGTCGATTATTATTTGAATAATCGAATGGATCGGGTGTCATTTGTGATCGATAAAATGGTCTTGGAACAATTATACGCGTAGTAGATGATGATAATTGACCTGGTGAATGATGATCAAAATTCATTATCGGAGTCAATATAAGTTTGGGTCGATCAGATCGTTCTTCTTGATTTTGTGTAAAAATTTCTTTAGACGATAAAGGAGACGAAGACATCGTTATGTATATACATATATAGAGCTACAAGGATAGGATTATATGTATTTACGTGTGTATGTGTATCAACAGTAATAATCAGTAACCATGTAGACAAATATTGTCTGAAAGAATAAGAACAACAGCAACGAGAAAAAAAGTAGAACAACAAAAAAAAAAGCTGTATCGTTATTTTCGATAAACGACAGACTAAGAACGGGAAAAATATCAGAATATGTTTTCTGTTCTAACTAGATGATGACGATACTACTAGATCGCATGTTCATTTGTACGAGTTCTTTTTCTCTCGTTATTCGTCGTAAATAAGTAAAAACATACCAAACAATCAAATGCTTGTGGTGCATCATATCCTATGTCATGATATCAGCTGACTTTCCTTCATAAATGTCGAAGAGACAGAAAACATTACCATTCTAGATGTCTCTTTCTTTTATTTACGGAAAACAGTTCGGCTCGTTATGATATTTAGAAGAAAAGAAAAGCCAAAAGAAACATGCTAATCTAAGTGTATTAATAAATTCATGCAGAGGTAATGATACTTGAAATCGACAATGATTTAGATAAAGAAAAAAGAACTAAAATTTAATTTTTTTTCGAATTTTAATTATTTCAAAAGTACGGTTACTCGTGGATTGAGTATTAACCAAACAACAATATATAGATCAATCATTATTTAAGAGAATACTGATCATTTACTATAGCTCAATTAAATGATTAAGTTAAATATAGCTACATTTGCTAGAAAGGGAATAGGATGCTTAGATGATTTGTTTTTTTCTTCGAAATATAGGCTTCAGATAAAGAAATCTGGATTTTGAAGAATGAAAAATCTATTTGTGACATATTATCTTGTAATGACATAAATTTCATTGAAACCAAGATAAATTTTTGAAAAGTATCATTTTTCATGAAACTGATCATCAATTTAAAAGGTCTAATATTTTCTTTATTGACAGTTTTGTGAGCAATTGTTGGAATTACGGTTCTGGAAAAGAATTCTTTTTAGTAATCGCAATAGGAAACTTCTCCTCTTTCGAACTGTATATAACTTATTTTTATCAGATATTCATTAACAGAATGGCATGTGAAAAAGTACATACACTCTAAAAATAATTTTGTACTTTTCGTATATGTCACCAGAATGACACGAAACGTGGACTATTACACAGTACACAATTTTTGATAGACACATGGACATTTGGTTTCAAAGCACTCAAATACAAATGTTTTCTACATGTACTGTTTCTTATGGAGTGATTACCGAAGATCAGAGGTACTTAAAAATAGGTTCTTCAGAGATCAAAAGTGGTCTAAAAATACCTAGTTCTGATTTGAAAATCATTTCTTATAGGGTTTGAGTACGCTAATTTCGAATCTAGCAATGGAGAGATTTTTCAGAATCTTCTAGAAGATTTTCTGAAAAATCACATTCCATTGAATACTTAAATATGTCCACATTTTCGAGAGAGAAATTCTCTAAAATTTTGGATGTTGTTATTACAGGTTTCAAGAACTTTCTCTGATCACTCACTCAGTTAGATAGAGTTCCTTTTCTGAATCAGTTCTGCAGAATGAAAAATCAGAGAATGAACTCTCATGGAATATTCAATCGATGGAAGTTTTTTAACAACTGACACTGCCAAGTCCATAGTTAGTTGTCTAAATTTAACAATATTGATTAGTTCAGTGGTCAACACCAGTCAAAGTATTACAGAATAATATTGCAAAAACTTTTTGGAAGGTTTTCGATAATTCAAGGGAACGGTTTCAATTATAGCATCTCTCACAAGAGAACATCCCCAACTATCCCTCGCTTTTGGATTGAGTATATGCCCAAACGATAGATCTCAGTGAGTTATTAAACACTCTACAACAGTTTAGTTTCCCAGGCCTTCTGAGCAGAGATATACAATTATTACTGTTACTAATATCGCGGCACCAGAAGGAAGGTTTTCTCCACTATTGTAAAGACAAAACATAGTGTTATTCGGGTTGATTATGGGTTTTTTAGGGATCCTCTTTCATATGGCCTGAAGGATACCATGTTTTGTCCTTATAATACCAGAGCGAATTCTTTGGTGATTGATAGAAAACGTCGTTTTCTATCAACCACCAAAGAATTCGCTCTACTATTATAAAGAGAAAACATGGCATCCTTCTGGCCATATGAAAGAGGGTCCCTAAAAAACCCATAATCAACCCGAATAACACTATGTTTTGTCTTTACAATAGTGGAGAAAACCTTCCTTCTAGTGTCGCGATATTAGTAACAGTAATAATTGTACATCTCTGCTCAGAAGGCCTGGGAAAACAAACTGTTGTAGGGTGTTTAATAACTCACTGAGATCTATCATTTGGGCATATACTCAATCTAAAAGCGAGGGGACGGTTGGAGATGTTCCCTCGTGAGTCTTTGACTAGCGTCTGCCACGATCTGTGATGGGTTGAAACAGAATATCCAGACTGTCTGTCACTTTTGTGATGGATCACTAGAGATTTTTCAGGATTTTTCTCATCTCTGTGACGGAATAACTAAATAGGTACTAATTAAATTTTAATTAGTCTATTAGTTCATTAATTAATGAGTTGCTTAATTAGTTGCCGAATTCTTTCATGATTTAATTAATTGGAACACCAGTCACCTATGTAGAGAAAAAGAACAACGAGAGTAAGTCCAAAATTTCTACCCCGTACACCCCAACACTACTTTTAGATCGTCTTTTACAAAAATATCTTTTTATTTATCGTGTAGGCATGGTACTAATAAAATGTTTATTATTGTAGATGAGAAAATTCTAGAATATAGCTGTAACTTTATCTGAATTATAAAACGAATATTTCAAAAATTATTTTTCGCTGGTGAAGAATCTTTAACCTTTTAATTAATTGTGCTCAAAAACTTGTTTAGCTGTTCTTTTATAAGTCGACGATTAAAACATACTTTTAATACGATGTTAAAAAGCAACAGTATATCGTTTTATTGTCTCATTACTATAACTTTACAAATAGGTTTTTGTACTAAAATAGTCGGTTTCTTCTCAGAAATGCTAAAAAAGATGAATTTTCAATTTAAAATTAAACTTTGAAACAGGACGAATCTCAATAAGGATAGTTTATTGCAAACATTTCAGATCTTTTGGTTGTTTGTATATCAAGATAGTGTCATAGTAAAAGTATCCTTCAAAAATTGATAATATACAATAGCAGATTCTGATACTCTTGTTGCAAGAAAAGCAGCAACAGAAACATCTAAAATTTTGATAAGAGACTATTTTCATCAAGGTGTTTCTCTATAGAAAACTTCAAGATAGAATTCAGCATTATTTTTCCAATGATTCTGACTGGAACAGTAGCATCGAACTAAAAAAATATGGCGAATATGTAATATGCGGAAAGCAACAAGCTACAGACATGAATTATTATCAGAATTTTCATAGTTTTTTAGAACTTATACAATTTACTAAGTCATTATTAAAAAACAAATTGGTGTTTACGAACGTTTCTTTGCTTCATTATAATAAAGAATTTCATCGTTTATAATTTTTCAAATAAATCAAAGCTTGTTTTAATAATCATCAAGAGATTGAGAACAAAAACGAAAAATTTATTTCGATATTTTTTCATGCTGAAAAAATGCTACTCAATCATTTAAATAGGAATCGAAGATAATAATTTAATTCGATAGTATACCAGTTAAGAAAACCATTCATTATTATTAACACGTTTTTGGAGATAAATCATCGTGAAAATGATTGATTTAGGAATTAGAGTTGAAAATGTCAACATCAGTTTCTTAACTAATTATAAGAAAGAGTAGCTATTAAAACTGAAAGATTTTTAATCTTATTCTATCAGAAATCTAACTCAAGAGGATAAGATAATAATCAAAAGATTATGACAGCAAGAGTAAAGATATAACTGGGAATAATCACTAAGTTTGCTATACCATAGTTCTCGTTTAATGTAATTAGAGTAAATTATTTTTTTATCGAAAAATAAATCTAGTGCTATCAAAAACTTCTACGACGATAAATCATTGCATTACCTTGGATATTTCTATCATTCAGAATAAATCAAAGCTTATAAAATAATACCGTTCTCTTACATCTAATACGTTTGTTTTCCAATCAATTTTTTTCTTTTACAATTAAAATGAAATAATATTTCATAACTCAATTAGAAAAAATGAATACGGTAAGTGAATTTTAGACTTTATCCTATCATTAAAACATATTGAAACGACTGTTTGAAGAATTCAGTTGAAGTATGATAATGAAGAAAATGTAAAATCATTTATAAATAGATATGCGCGGCAGCACTGTTGAACAGAAGTTCTTATTTTTATTTTTAATAATTATTGTAATAAATCAATACTACCGTTATTTAGTTTATATTTTGCTTATTTGACGAAATAACTATTACTATAATTTTCGCAGACACTTACAAAACGTTTTTTATGTAATCTTAATATTTTTAATACTAGAGTTTTTGTTGATGTTTAATCTTTAATCGTTCTACTCATTTCATATATTATGCTATTTCTATAATTGATAGTACAACTATCTTTACTTTTTTATTGAAATATAATAAAGTATTTTATATGAACAGAATACAAAAACAGGTTTATTCTTTGATTAAATCACAAAATTTTAAACAAAGAAAAATAAATACTCTTCACATAAATGTATTTACATGTGAAAAAAAAACAAAATTACAGAAGGAAAATTTTCGTCTAATTTTCTTTTCTACCTTTCATCTATTGTAAATAATTCTTTTAATTGATCATATTCAACAGAAATTGTTTCATTAATGATAAAATACAACATTTTGTTTGATAATATAAACATATAAGAAACGAAGCATCTGTTAAAGTATTTTCATTTATTGATAATGAAGACATATATATACTTGATAATAGCAATCAATACTTGCATATGATCGATATCTCTATTGATAAGTATTGTTTTTCATTTCGTATTGAATCATTTTTGGTAATTAAT